TGACTCATTTTCATTATATGTAGCCCTATATATCATCCCCATGGGTGACCACACATGCAGGTTTGCCTGAGTGTTTAAGGTTGCTCCGCAGGCAGTCATGATTACATCTGGCAGAGCGGAGTCGCTAAATGTTAAAAAGAAAAACTGTCTAAATATCTGCAGCATCTATTCACATCTACTGACGCAACAATTAGTAAACGACAAAAAACAAGACCGTAACAAAACATTACTCACCCTGAGTAGGTCTCCTCGATTCTGATCAACAGCATGAAAAATGAAACCAAAATAAAATAACGCAAAAAATGGTCTAAGTAAGATTATCAAGTCGCCACACTTAAAAATCGTCGGGCCGGTGTCCACCCAAATTTATGACCCAAGCTCGCTTCCCAATTGGATTTCTCATTTTTTTCCTACCCTTGGTTTTCCCACACGTATCCGGATTCAAATTTAATTTGCCCGTCCACACGTATCCGACACATATCAGGATTATTTCTGTTACGCAGGACTCCTCTGGGAGTATTGGAAACTGAGCATGCGTCGAGGTGGCCATCTTGAATACAATATTGACGGTACAACTTACCTTGGCATATTCGAATTTAGCGTCCACACGATTCCCGGTTCATAGTGTATTCAAAAATTTCCACTATGGAGAGCGGATTCGTGTGGACGAAAGTCAAATCCGGAAATACGGGTGGACGAAAGTACAGTACAGTATTTTTATAAATCTCCACTACGTGGCTCTTCCGATTTAATTTACAAAATAGAACAAAGAAGAAGGAGAAAAATACTAATTTGCAAATCTAATTGTTAATAATAAATGGAAAAATAGGAAAAAAACATTAAATTAAGAAATAGCTACGATATATATCGTACATACTATATACGTATACGTTTACTTATTATTGACTTTAAAATGCTCTAACTATGACAAATAAAAACTGTTTTAGTCATGCAATCAGTCACCTAGTCAAATCCGGAAAGAAAAAATAGCGGATTTAAAAATATCCGGATATAGGAATGCGCAGGGCCTGAATCTAACACAAGTCGCACTCGAACCCCTTAAAGGAACAGTATCCCGTTACTGCGCATGCACCAAACTTTGATTTTTGGACAGGATGTCGCGAAATCAAAAGATGCGCGGAGAGTAAGAGAACCTTGAAAAATCCGTTTGCATCGCACTTGACCGGGTTCAATACGACACTAAAACTTCTCAGGATTACAGATCAATTATATATTGTTCCTGTTAAGTTTCGATTTGGGCAAAATCTGGATTTTTTGGCGTTACTTTTATTGCCGTTGGCCGGAGGACCAAAAGATTGGAAGCACTTTGATGCCGATTGAAGGCTTATTTCTTGTGCTAGCTTCCATACAAGCTCGGATAATTGTGAAAGGAATACGCAGAAATGAAACGGCAACAATAAAGACTGTAAGAAAGAAACCATTGAGACATTTATGTGACTGAGGAGATCTTGTGGAGAGGAGCTTCGTAAAGCAGAATGTTTTGCAACGACGCGTTAAAGTAAACTTTTTTAAATGAATCTCCCTAACGGCCGACAAAATCAAACAAACAGGCGCTACATGTTTAGAAAAACTAGCGCCATGAAATCATAATATAATTTTTGACTAACCTTTCTGATGATTCATAGCGTTGAGATTGCATTTTCATTTATGTCTTTCAAACGTTTGAGGCTAGAACGCGAACAAATCAGCCAGATATTACTAGACTTGGAACAACTGACCTCTGACACGAGTTTCAAATTTTAAAGCGAGCGAAACGAGATTTTCGGATCGCGAGGCGGCCCAGCTAGCGATAAAATCGCGATAAGTCCTCGAACCGCGAGCCAAATTTTTATATAAGACGAAAGACTTCTTTGAAAGTCTAAAATATTACTTGAGAATATAAACAACAAATCTCTGTCGGCGGTGCGGTCCGGAAGGAAATCTTGTCGAGTCAATATGACAGTTCTATTGTCTTTTGAAGAAAAAACAGATGACGCTCGCGCGTGCGCATAATCGGGACACTGTCCCTTTAATACTCTGATACTCGACACGAGAGATGAAAATGATGTTTAAGCAAAAATCAATACCCGATATACGTTGCTCTAAAGCAAAGTTCTGTAAACTTACCGTATTTATTCGATTAACCGCCCAGGGTGCTTATTAAATTTTTGGACCTTCAGAGTGGGCGCTTATTCGAGGCTGGGCGGTTATTAAATTTTCACCATTTTCAGCAATTAGTGTAGTATTTTTATTTTGCAACAAAACAGTAAATGCCAGTAACAAAACGCGAAGAAGTAACAATGCAAAGTTTCTGTAAAATACTCGGAAGAACACTCCGTCTTCGGGGAAGTCTCTTATTAGTACTTATTCAATTTCAATTTCAATCTCATTATCGCTCAAGTAGGTGGGGTGGGGGTGCGCGCTAATTGAGTTTGATTGGTAGGGGGAGGGGTTGGGGTGGGCGCTTATTCGAGGCTGGGCGCTTATTAACTTTTTCTGCCTTTAGGATGGGCGCTTATTCGAGGTGCGCAATAATTCGAGGTTGGGCGCTTATTCGAATAAATACGGTATTTCTATTTTATCCCCTATCAATGCAGTGTATTCCAATTTAGGCTTTATTAACATACAAGCTTAATAACACAAGAGATCTATAATACACTGGCAAAAAAAACTGTCCACTATTGAATGAAAATGTCGATAAGAGTACCGGCAGACAATCGTCAGTTTTTCTGCATCTATATTTAACATTCTCAGAGGCAAAAAGCACAAAAGAGAGAACGGAAAAGGCATTACTTACCGCTTTCAACTCCTACCAAATTCATAGATTATAAACAGGCGGAGAGAAAAGAAAAAAAGATAAAAGTGAGTATTGTCAAAGCGTCAACAAACCACTAATACCGACTCTGATATTCTTTGCTTTATCGCAAAGTACTAATAATGCTTTAGCAACTTTGTTTGTCTTTTTTATCATTCAGCCCGCTCTATCAACTTAGAAGCTACAAGCCACAGAAAGATACCTCGAAATAAATTCCCCAACAAAAACAATTTAGTTCTCCCGACTATTCTCACTAGGGGCCGTCACGCACAAACGCTCCCTGTGCCCGTGGGACCCGTACATTTAAATTACCTCACATCTGTGGATCCGCGTGGGAATTTGTTGTGCATATATTTGTGAGTTTAGTATAAATTGGCCTTTTTTGATGCTGTTTATTCCTCTCTTCGTTAAAACCGACACCAGACACCTAGTTTGTTCCCCCACCCTCCTCCCCGCAGCGATGGCACACGCTGGCGCCTTATCTCCCGCTCCTTCCCGCCTCCGGGCTCGCCTCTTCCCATAATTCATCCCAACCTTGGGGCGTTTGGCAGTGGGGGCTCCCGGTGAGAATTTATCACTGTCCTGGTTCCGATTCACTGATTCTTGGCACGAAAACTGAGCCTAGTAAGGAGGATGAAGGCAAACTACAATCATGGATAAAAGTCTTGGGATACTTTTGAATTTTGGGGGCGTTTTCCAATTCACACATACCATGCCCCTCCCCTCACCCCACAAACAACGTTGGACGCATGTTTTTTTTTAAGTATTTGAAGGAACAAGCGCTAACTCGTCCGTGACGTAAAATCACTAAGCAGTAAAGTAACCAAGCACGTTTTCTTCTTGTAATTCATGTCTTTTTTGAGCATTAAATGCTATCCACAGATATAGATAATCTACCGGCAAAACTAAAAAAACTGTCCACTACAGACAGACTACACTAGTTAGTTTACATCGACTAATCCCTTAAAGGCATATTAAAACAGGCTTTCAGAAAAAGATCATACAAAAAATTGCTGGAGGTATTACTTACCCATAGAATCTGATCATCAAAGTAGCAAAAACGAAAAAGAAACAAGAAAGAAAGGTAAATGTCTTGATAAAAAGTCAACACAAACATTACAGCAACTCCGATATTCTGTGTTTAAAGGCAAAGTACTCATTAGGCTTAATAATTTTTAAGCAATTTAGCAAAGTTTTTTTTTTATATTTCAGTCGTTATTAAGTTTTAAAACGATCAACCACAGAAATGATGGCTATTAACAAATCCACCGGCAAAACCAAGTGCTCTTGAGTATTTAATAAAAAAGTGTACGCAAGACTATAGATACAGAGACTAACAATTTAACGTTGCTGCCATTTGTTTACAAGGACTGATACACCAGTGAAGCACATAACAGAGCCAAAAAAAAAATTCCTTGTAAGCATTACTTACTCCGTGATCCTGTCGTGTTCATTGATCATCGACATAAATAAAGAAAAGAAAACAAGAGGAAATTATGTTTAATCATCATCATAACACTAAAAGTATTAACTCCAATTTAATTCTTTGCTTTATTTGACAAAGTGCTATTGATCATCCACGCAACAATAAAAAAAAGAAAAGAGAGAAAGACAAAAGTATTGTTAAACGTCAACAAAACATAAAACCAACTCTGATATTCTTTGCTTTATCGCAAAGTACTAATAACGCTTTAGCAACGTTGATTGTCTTTTTCATAATTAAGCCCGCTCTATCAACTTAAAAGCTATAAGCCACAGAAAAGAGAGCTCAAAATAAAGTCTCCTAGCAAACCAATTCAGTTCTGCTGACTATTGATTATTGTTGAGTTTGACACATTTTCTAGTAATTTTTAGGTCGATGAATGTCTTGGTTTTTAAGTCGTCGACTTCAACCTAAGAAAAGTATTTGAAGGAACAAGCGCTAACCCGTCCGTGACGTAAAATCATAAGCAGTAAAGTAACCATGCACGTTTTATTTTCTGCCGCTGTCATTGCATGTCCATTGCGGACTACATACTGTCCTGGTGATGATTCACTTATTCTTGACACTAAAACTGTGCATAGTAAGGAAGATAAAGGCAAACTACAATCATGGACAAAAGTTGGGATACTTTTGAATTTCTCGGGCGTTTTCCAATTCACACATATCCTGCCCCTGCCCCTCCGCTCACCCCACAAACAACGTTGGACGCATGTTGCGATAGTTCGAAATAAATTCCCCTAACTCTGATCATCAACGTAACAAAAGAAAAGGAACAGATATGAAAATGTTGTTTAAACAAAAAACAATACCCGATAGCATACACGCTTAATAACACAAGAGATCTATAATCCACTTAAAAAAAAACTCTCCACTATAAAATAAAAATGTAGGTAAGAGTACAGGCAGACAATCGTCAGTTGTTCAGCATCTATGTTTAACATTCCCAGAGCCAACAAGCACAAAAAGAGAAAAAAACGGAAAAGGCATTACTTACTGCTTTTTCCTACCATATTCATAGATTATAAAAAGACGGAGAGAAAAGAAAGAAAGATAAAAGTGAGTATTGTTAAAACGTCAACAAACCACTAATACCGACTCTGATATTTTGCTTTATCGCAAAGTACTAATAACGCTTTAGCAACGTTCTTTGTCTTTTTTATCATTCAGCCCGCTCTATCAACTTAGAAGCTATAAGCCACAGAAAGATAGCTCGAAATAAATTCCCCTAGCAAAACAATTTAGTTCTCCTGACTATTCTCACTAGCCGCCGTCACGCACAAACGGTCCCTGCGCCCGTGGAACTCGTACATTTGAACTCCCGCGCATCTGTGGATCCGCAAGGGAACTCGTTGTGCAATGATATTTGTGAGTTTAGTATAAATTGGCCTGTTTCATGCTGTTTATTCCTCTCTTCGTTAAAACGGACACCAGACACCTAGTTTGTCGCCCCACCCACCTCCCTGCAGCGATGGCACACTCTGGCGCCTTATCTCCCGCTCCTTCCCGCCTCCGTAACAAAAGAAAAGGAAAAGAAATAAAAATATTGTTTAAACAGAAAACAATACCCGATATACGTCGCTCTATAGCAAAGTTCTGTAAACTTATTTCTATTTTATCCCCGAGCCATGCAGTGTATTCCAATTTAGGCTTTATTAACATACACGCTTAATAACACAAGAGATCAATAATACACTGGCAAAAAAACTGCCCACTATTAAGTCAAAATGTAGCTAAGAGCACAGGCAGACAATGGTCAGTTTTTCAGCATCTATATTTAACATTCTCAGAGGCAACAAGCACAAAAAAGAAAACGGAAAAGGCATTACTTACCGTTGGTTTCTACCATATTCATAGATTATAAACAGGCGGAGAGAAAAGAAAAAAAGATAAAAAACGTCAACAAACCACTAATATCAACTCTGACATTCTTTGCTTTTTCACAAAGTACTAAAAAAACACGCTTTAGCAATGTTCTTTGTCTTTTTTATCATTCAGCCCGCTCTATAAACTTAGAAGCTATAAGCCACAGAAAGATAGCTCGAAATAAATTCCCCTAACTCTGATCATCAACGTAACAAAAGAAAAGGAACAGATATGAAAATGTTGTGTAAACAAAAAACAATACCCGATATACGTTGCTCTGTCGCAAAGTACTGTAAACTTATTTCTATTTTATCCCCGAGCAATGCAGTGTATTCCAATTTAGAGCTTTATTAGCATACACGCTTAATAACACAAGAGATCTATAATCCACTTATAAAAAAAAACTCTCCACTATAAAATAAAAATGTAGGTAAGAGTACAGGCAGACAATCGTCAGTTGTTCAGCATCTATGTTTAACATTCCCCGAGGCAACAAGCACAAAAGAGAAAACGGAAAAGGCATTACTTACGTTGTTTAACTGCCACCATATTCATAGATTATAAAAAGACGGAGAAAAGAAAGAAAGATAAAAGTGAGTATTGTTAAAACGTCAACAAACCACTAATACCGACTCTGATATTCTTTGCTTTATCGCAAAGTACTAATAACGCTTTATTAACGTTGATTGTCTTTTTTATCATTCAGCCCGCTCTATCAACTTAGAAGCTACAAGCCACAGAAAGATAGCTCAAAATAAAGTCTCCTAGCAAACCAATTCGGTTCTGCTGACTATTGATTATTTTTCTAGTTTGACACATTTTCTAGTAATTTTTAGGTCGATGAATGTCTTGGTTTTTAAGTCGTCGACTTCAACCTAAGAAAAGTATTTGAAGGAACAAGCGCTAACCCGTCCGCGACGTAAAATCACTAGGCAGTAAAGTAACCATGCACGTTTTATTTTCTGCCGCTGTCATTGCATGTCCATTGCGGACTACATACTGTCCTGGTGATGATTCACTTATTCTTGACACTAAAACTGTGCATAGTAAGGAAGATAAAGGCAAACTACAATCATGGACAAAAGTTGGGATACTTTTGAATTTCTCGGGCGTTTTCCAATTCACACATATCCTGCCCCTGCCCCTCCGCTCACCCCACAAACAACGTTGGACGCATGTTGCGATAGTTCGAAATAAATTCCCCTAACTCTGATCATCAACGTAACAAAAGAAAAGGAACAGATATGAAAATGTTGTTTAAACAAAAAACAATACCCGATAGCATACACGCTTAATAACACAAGAGATCTATAATCCACTTAAAAAAAAACTCTCCACTATAAAATAAAAATGTAGGTAAGAGTACAGGCAGACAATCGTCAGTTGTTCAGCATCTATGTTTAACATTCCCAGAGCCAACAAGCACAAAAGAGAAAACGGAAAAGGCATTACTTACTGCTTTTTCCTACCATATTCATAGATTATAAAAAGACGGAGAGAAAAGAAAGAAAGATAAAAGTGAGTATTGTTAAAACGTCAACAAACCACTAATACCGACTCTGATATTTTGCTTTATCGCAAAGTACTAATAACGCTTTAGCAACGTTCTTTGTCTTTTTTATCATTCAGCCCGCTCTATCAACTTAGAAGCTATAAGCCACAGAAAGATAGCTCGAAATAAATTCCCCTAGCAAAACAATTTAGTTCTCCTGACTATTCTCACTAGCCGCCGTCACGCACAAACGGTCCCTGCGCCCGTGGAACTCGTACATTTGAACTCCCGCGCATCTGTGGATCCGCAAGGGAACTCGTTGTGCAATGATATTTGTGAGTTTAGTATAAATTGGCCTGTTTCATGCTGTTTATTCCTCTCTTCGTTAAAACGGACACCAGACACCTAGTTTGTCGCCCCACCCACCTCCCTGCAGCGATGGCACACTCTGGCGCCTTATCTCCCGCTCCTTCCCGCCTCCGGGCTCGCCTCTTCCCATAATTCATTCCAACCTTGGGGCGTTTGGGAGTGGGGGCTCCCGGTGAGAATTTATTTACTGTCCTGGTTCCGATTTACTGATTCTTGACACAAAAACTGAGCGTAGTAAGAATGATGAAGGCAAACTACAATCATAGATAAACGTCTTGGGATACTTCTACATTTTTGGGGCGTTTTCCAATTCACACATACCCTCCCCCTCCCCTCATCCCACAAACAACGTTGGACGCTTGTTTCCAGAGTTTTTTTCCCACTTTGAACTTTGTATAGGGCGGGGGAGGGAGAACTACAAGAAAATTTCGAAAAGGATGTACTCTTTTATGGTAGCCTGTGTTCAGACACCCCCCTCTCTCCTCCGTTTTCTTGTTGTAATTCATGTCTTTTTTGAGCATTAAATGCCATCCACAGATATATATATAATCTACTGGAAAAACTAAAAAAACTGTCCACTACAGACAGACTACACTAATTAGTTTACATCGACTAATCCCTTAAAAGCATATTAAAACAGGCCTTCCCATAATGTTTAGATCAGGATCTCTAGGAGGAGCTGATCATCAAAGTAGCAAAAACGGAAAAGAAACAAGAACAAAAAGGTAAATGTCTTGATAAAACGTCAACACAAACATTACAGCAACTCCGATATTCTTTGTTTAATGGCAAAGTACTCATTAGGCTTACTAATGTTTAAGCAATTTAGCAACGTTTTTTTGTTATATTTCAGTCGTTATTAAGTTTTAAAACGATCAACCACAGAAATGATGGCTATTAACAAATCCACTGGCAAAACCAAGTGCTCTTGAGTATTGAATAAAAAAGTGTACGCAAGACAGATGGAGAGACTAACAATTCAACGTTGCTACCATTTGTTTACATCGACTGATGCACAAGTGAAGCACATAACAGAGCCAAAAAATGGAATTCCTTGTAAGCATTACTTACCCCTTGATCCTGTCGTGTTCATTGATCATCGACATAAATAAAGAAAAGAAAACAAGAGGAAATTATGTTTAATCATAATCATAACACTAAAAGTAACTACAATATTCTTTGTTTTATTTGCTATTGATCATCCACGTAACAATAAAAAAAAGAAAAGAGAGAAAGATAAAAGTATTGTTAAACGTCAACAAAACATAAAAACCAACTCTGATATTCTTTGCTTTATCGCAACGTACTAATAACGCTTTAGCAACGTTGATTGTCTTTTTCATTATTCAGCCGGTTCTATCAACTTAAAAGCTATAAGCCACAGAAAAGGGAGCTCAAAATAAAGTCTCCTGGCGAAATAATTCAGTTCTGCTGACTATTGATTATTGTTCTACTTTGACAGATTTTCTAGTAATTTTTAGGTCGATGAATGTCTTGCTTTTTGATTGGTCGACTTGAACCTAGGAAAAGTATTCGTGGGTCTATTCATGTTGTCAAAGGAACAAGCGCTAACTCGTCCGTGACGTAAAATCACTAAGCAGTAAAGTAACCATGCACGTTCTATTTTCTGCCGCTGTCATTGCATGTCCATTGCAGACTACATACTGTCATGGTTACGATTCACTGATTCTCGACACTAAAACTGTGCATAGTAAGCAAGATAAAGGCAAACTACAAACATGGACAAAAGTTGGGATACTAGGTTCATATTTGACACGTGTCCTGCACACAGTTACGATCAGCAATGTCGATGTCGCAATGTGTGGTGAAACAATGAAAGATAGTAAATTTTAAGCTCGGTGAAACAAAACAATTTGAAAATGAAATAATCAGCATGTCACGAGCGTGGGACAAAGAAAAAATCTAAGTCCCCGACAGGATTCGAACCTATGACCTCCCAAACACCGGGCGGGCGCTCCATCCACGCGATCTTATTGTTTTATTTTTTCAATAGAAATAAGAATTATTTTTGTTAGGAAAACCTATACCTTTCACTTTGTATACAACGCACTTCAGTTGTTCCTCAGGGTGTTCCCTAAAGGGAAGCAATGACCCTTCGGCTTCTTTTTCATCATCATCATCTTTCACTTTTTCGGAACTTCTCACAAACCTAATGCGTACGACAGACATTTCACATGAACTTCTTCTCCTTTAATTTGTAAGTACAAATTTAAAACGTCACTTAACTATTCTTAGGTGTCTTAGCCGCTCGATGATTTTCAAAGTTAACTTTAATAATAATAATAATAATTTACTGTTCCTATAGCGCTATTTACATATACAGATCAGAAGCACTTTACTGACATTTAACTGTTCAAGTATCTATGAAAAATTGAAATAGTTAAGCGTAAACTAAAAAAACTGATAAAAAAACCAAACGCCAAATAATATAATACAGTATAAGCCCACATATAAGAACCTAGAATTTTCGAGCTCAGGCTGAACAGGTTTTTACATTATAGGGTAGTTTTTCACAATTCAGGCTGATTAGGTTCTTAATAGGTTCTTACCACCACACATTAAGTGAAACAAGTTATTTAATTCACTTGAAGCGATTTTATCAGAAATAAATAAAACTGATATTATCATATTCCTTATTGTGCTCATAAAATACAGTTGACGCCGGCTCCCCTAACAGACCGCCCAAAATGCCAAGAGGTAGCGGGACGTTTACTGGTTCTAGCTTTGGATAGGTGGCCTTTTATGGGAGGTGGTTGCTTACGAGAGGTGGTCGCATATGGATGTTCGCCTGAAGTAAGAAAAACACAATGTAAAGAAAGTAAACTGTGGTATTTTGCGACTCTTAAATATCACTGAGCGCCGTGTCTATATTAAATACCCTCACCTCTTCATTTCTATCTTGGAACCACTGCCAAAGCCAAGGCTTGATAAGGATTGGTCATTTTCGGAAGGAAAGAGTCCTTCTCCTTTGAAATAAAATGTAACGGCCGCTTTTTCATTTTCTGACATGTTTTTGTACAGTGGTATTTCATCCACAAGGTCCTTTAGAGTCTTTGCTTTATCAAACTTCACTATGCAACCCTCGCCACTTTCCATGTCCTCGACAGTTATAGTGATGTATTCTGGTACAGTCACTTCTACACTTGGCTGTAAACTGCAAATGAGTTCCAAAGGAAGGCTTCTCTGTCGTTCGTCTGACAGTTGGGTTTCTCCGTGGTGGACTTTCTGGTCCTTTACGGGAATTCCAAGCTTCTCCTCTATCACTGCCATCAAGTCACTGACATTCGCTTTGCTTGGTCGTATCTTTACCGGAAATCTTTCACTAGACGATGCCTCAACTGTTATCTCCAATTCGGCATCAATTAATCTCAGGTTTCTCAAGGCTCCAGGCGATTTCATCAAGTAGCTATATTAATATATAATAAGAAAATTACTGTTAAAACATCCAAATTAATACTTAACAAGAGAGTCTTGGGAACTGCCCGATCGATAACCCTTGGTTAAAGGTCTTGCCATCTATGACAAGAACGCGCTCGCCTACTAGAGGTAGCGAAGCCGAGTAGTCAGCCTGTTCCAAGCGTTCAAATAGTGCAGAGCGGTGCGAAGTAAAGAAAGCGATGAAAAGTAGAGGGGGACTGGGAAAAAAGAGGCGGTTCCCTCTCGCACCTCTCCTCCTCGCTCGCTTTTATTTTTTCGCGGTCCTTCTTACTTCGCACCGCTCCCCAATATCTGAACGCCTGGGACAGGCTACCGAGTAGTAAGCGGTGTTCTCGACTTCAAATCCTGCTCTAATTGCTGGCTGGATTTCAAGTTCTCGGCAATCATGATTCCAAGACAATTCAACCCCTTGACCATACCCGATGATTGCCTGCTACCAGATGGTTTTATCGACCTTGTTATGTTCTATCTGAATCACGACTCTCTTTTAAAGGACATCCTTATAGGATGTACACCTCCCTAAAACGGGCAACAATAGTTGGTCACTGCCTTCATTTTGTCCTTCTTTTCGTTTATCACTGCAGAAGATACCTCACTTACACGAACTTGAAATCTGTGTATCGGTTCCGACGGTAAACACTTTAGAACCAGACGACTCTGTATGTTTTCTATTATTTAATTGTCAAGCGTAGGTTAAACCTTAATACCTTTTATAAATGTAGCATCACACAGCCAAATCAAAATGTCTTAATCTTCTAAATATAAATTCTTAAAAATCCCTTCCAAATTCAGCTAAATTTCTAAATCTACCGAACGTATTTGGGTTGATTTACCATGTTTATGCACAAACAAACAATAAAAACAACAAAACCAACAAGAATATAAAAAAGTTGATTACTTTTAATACTGCGAACAAAATAAAAATGTGAACTGTTTTTGGTTGCTTTACCAAACACGCAACGAATTCTCAGCCAAAAAAGGATGGCTTAAAAAATAATTTTCCAGGACCTGGGTGGACAGACATTCGGCAGCCGTTTCTACCCTGATAAAAAACTACACAGCTTCTACTAGCTAGATATCGTCGTTGTAACAGGGCACCTCGTGTGCATTTTGCGTAATTATTACATACTGACCTTAAACGGTAAGAATTTGACAATTTGACTTTATCATTCAGAACAAGAAGTTGATCAGGATCGCTGGCAAGATTTAGTTGACTCTGTACTTGACGTTTCAAATCACCAACTGTTGCATCTGGGGCAATATTCACTTCCAGTGGATAAGGTAAGTCAGAAATAGCAACTGCGATGTCCAGGAAAGCTTCTGGTGTGAACACACACTTTACGAGACCATTTTCATCCCGGTCAGACTCAATACCAGCTTCTTTGGGTGCGGTTTTTACGCGATAGAAAGTGAACTTCTTAGCCTCGTAAGCTGGTCGTTCTATCGTTAACTCCTCTCCTCCATATACAACCCAGCCTCCAACGTCATAGCCATCTATGGATATGTCTAAGTTGCAACCTTTGCGAAGGACAGAGATCGAGCATAAAGTTAACCTTAAAAAAATATCCGTAGATGTGGTCTTTTCATTGTAATTATAGATTACTGAATGTACTCTATTCGCGCGGACCAAGTTTAATGTATCAGTCGACGAAGCTTAAATCGTCAAACTGCTTTCATTTAATCTAAAAACTCTTCTGGAATGCGGCAGTGTTTTTGCTGTATCTCTCCTTGCTTGTAAATATCAGCTGTGAGTAGAATATATAAGACCCAGTTCAGACGTCGTGCTTCTGCCGTGCCGAACTTCATTGTAATTTGGTTCTACTGTAGCACGGCAGGAAAACAACTTTGATTCAGACGCCGTGCTAGAGTCGAACCAAATTCAGGGTTTACTGATGCCTCGTAACAATTCTTCTCCCAACTCCCCGTGGGAACGCAATCTCGCCAAAATACATTAATATAATTTATGAATTTTGTTTAGCGCGGCAGAAGCACGACGTTTGAATCACTGCCGTGCCAGAGCCGTGTAGCACGGCAGCGCTTGTCGAACTTAATTGCTTGCCAAACTTAATTAAAAAGTTTGATTCAGACGCCGTGCTTCTGCCGTGCTTTTGTCGAACTTGATTCCTGAATTTAGTGTGGCACGGCAGAAGCACGACGTCTGAACTGGGCCTAAGAGCCTCAAAACATTTATGGCCGATTCATTTTGCGACAGTTGACTTTTCGAGACTTTGGCCACCTGGTGAACCTAAGGCTGTGTTCATCTATACCGGATAGCTTTTGCACCGGCACGAAACCCATACTGCGGATAGGGTTTCTATTCACACATAAGAACGGTGATTTCGGCGCGATTTCTGTAACGGAGCGAATTTGGGCCGCGCCGATCTCTGAACTGAGTGGAAAGGCACATATCGGATAGGTATGTAAATTAGTAATATAGCGGCCAGCTTTGTGGTGTCGGTGCGAGAAAGTTATTCGGTATAGTGTGAACACGCTGCCTAAGGTAACGTCACTGTCATCTCAATACTATTTCTACCGTATCACGTTCAGTTTTTATCCCACTATCTTTAACTAATCAGGTGTTCGGATAATTATTGATCAGAATCTAAAGCTTCTGCAAGGCATCCTTCAAAACGTATGTTCGGGACCGGGATTAACCCATAAAAACCGTCAGCATTATAGGATTGGTATTTATTGGCTTAATGTACGTACGCATCCTTACCATAGGCATAGGAGTTTTTGACATGTATCTTGTACTGTGTGCCGCTCTTCAACTCCACAAACTCTCCTTCCGGTGTTTTATAATGCTTTCCACCGATGATTTCTACTGAGTACCCTTGGTACGCCAGATAATTGACATATCGCATAGGTGGTGGTCCAGCATGGTGAAGGCAACGTTGCCCTACCTGTGCTGACGCACCTGGTGCAACAGAAGGGGCAGGGGCAGGGCCAGCAGGGGCAGAAGCAGGCGCAAGAGCTGACCTCTCGGAAGTACACGGAGCAAATAAGGAGCCTGGAATAGAAAAAAAAGGGGGGATATCGTTAGCTCTTCAGCTAAAATTCTAAATTGAGCTTGCAATTCAAGCAATGTCCAACGCCCCTCCGTTCAAATGGTCAGAAATGCAACAATATAATATAGAACACAAGTTCATGGAAACGGATATTAATTCACCTGATGTGAGTCAAGTGAGCAAACAAGTCGAGGAGAATCCATGAAAGCAAATAATGTTATTTACGACGCTACATTTTCCGTTTGGGTACCCACGTTTCAGCAATACTGCCCTCTTCAGAAATAAAAAAATGACACAACGTCACAATGTTCACTACTGCCATCATGATAATAAGTTTAATTCTAGCAGTAGTAATTAATTCATTCAGCTCATCCTAATGTTGACCCAAAACTATGTAGAGGAATTAGGTATTTCCTTGAAACCGACATTCCTGATCTCAAGCTGCTATGATGAGAACGGAGAAAAGCTCAATGAGAAGACGCTACGATGAAGCTAAACCATTAAAAAGTACTTCTTTCCGCTAAGGAACAAGCCGAGTAATGAAGGCACGGAGCACGATGAAAATCGAGAACCTGTTTAAAGTTCTGTAAAGTTCTACCCTGCAAATAATATAGCCTGCGTAGCTGGCGGGATAGCGCAAGGGTAAATTCGGCTCGGCTGCCAAGAAAATACCCCACTAAGGCATAACAATCCCGTCACATACGCAGGCTACAAATAATAGTTCATTTGATACTTGGAAATTCTCAAACATCAGGCTTCTTGTCTTACTTTCACTTTTCCCGGCAGAAGATGTGTCTGTAAAATGTACTGCTGCAGGTGTGACTTGAAATCCATCATTTCCTCTGGAGGTTTGTCTATCACGGGCACCCTGATTAGCTAATGAGGCGGTCATAAAAGTTACTGTGTTGCCTTTTCCTACTTGACTTTCATCTCCCAATTAATAGAGAAAGAAATCATTTTTAGAAATTAAAAGAACGCGCGTCTTCACAGCTTTCTTACATACGTATAATATACATAACATATGTATAATACATATCTTACTGCCTGCATAGCAAGCGTTTCCGTGCGAGTTCGTCGAAAAAGTTGGTCTAGTATTGAAAGAATAATAGAAATATATCACGCAACAGATTTCCTTGATCTGTTAAACCTGAAATTAAAGAATTAAACTTAAGATATGCCAGAGCTCTTAAGCGCGGGTGCAAGGGGCAGTTCAAGATTCTTTTCACCCACTACATCCGTGACGTCATCGTTTTCGAAAATTGACGTTTTTGCTTATCTAAACGTTAACAGGTTAATGGCGTTATCAGACATATCCACTCTGGAGTGTCAGCTTTCAATATGTTGTACTTTCGGTGACCTCTTTCGAGTCTTAGAAAAAATAAGGACGGAAGGTCGATTCGCAAACAAAACAACGCAAAGGCGGCAACGAGGCATGCAGCCTGACATTGTATACTCACTTCTGTCCACACAATATGCCGTTCGGGATTTGGTTGCCAATTTAGGATCACTGTCTGATTCATCACCAACCCCATAAGTGACCATATCTTCAAAATCTATACCTACATATAGATAATTAGGATGACCATATAATTAAAACCTAATATCATGTGAAGTTAAGTAAATTTTTTTGCATCAATTTAGGTTTCTGGGAAACTGCCCACCTACCCCTCCCCTAAGCCAACATTTTGCCCCAAGTGAGAAATAAGTGATAATGTTGGCTTAAGGGAGGGGTAGGTGGGCAGTTTCCCAGAAACCTAAATTGATCCTTTTTTTTTTTTATCATAACGAATTAAAATAGCTGAGGTTTTCATCACCCTAACCTCATGGCAACTACCATAGTGATCCTGGGTGGTAGACCTTATGATGGCCTATACGGGGAGGCTCCGCCCGAAAGGGGTACCTTTTCAGGCTTCAGGTAAATGAAAGGGTAGGGATTTCAATAGTTGAAGGGAAGGCAGTGACGGATCAACTAATAAAATAAATAAAGTTCATGTAAAAACGGTTGAAGATTGGGTGGATTTTTGTGTGTCAGCAGGTGCTCCTGGTGTCAGGACTTCGAGGGTTGGGTAGACTATCTGGCGAGGGTAGGGTGGGCAAGGGGTAGGTTGACGGAAAGAGGGGGTAATGTGTGTAAAAGACAAATTCTCCAGATTTCAGCATTTGTAGGGGAGGAAGGTCAGTATGCAAAAAAGGCAAAATCCATTAACAATTTATAACGGAAAACAGGCCTGAGAAACTCACTTTCCTCCACACACTTCGCTATTTTGCATTTGGATGCTGAGCTACGAACACTCTTTGACTCATCGCCACTCCCATGAATGACCAGATCTTTAAACTCTGTATACACTTCTTGACAAATAAATACAACTATAGTTAGGCGAATCACCATACAGGCGCTGATCCAGAAAACTCAGGAAGCAGGAGGGAAGGGTAGCAGGACAATTAAGCCAGCAAAATAGCTAATATTTATTTTACTGGAAATTCTTTAAAATAATACAAAATTTCTAAGAAAATGGGGAGGGGGGAAGTGCAGTCTCCTTGGCTCACCCCTAAATCCACCCATGCCAATCAAGCAGTAATTTAAGTTTAAGAAGACTTAATGACTGGAGCTGAGTGGATTTTGAGTGTCAAGGAGCTGGGGGCGGGTATCCAAGCGGTAGGATGTATGTAATAGGAATGGGGTAGGTGCAAAAGAGAAATTCTGCAAATTTCAAAACTCACTAGTTGAGGTATAATTGTCATCTCTGTATCTTTCTTTACAGTTATAATAATAATTATTATAACAATAATAGTTTATTAACAGTGTATCCACCTAGTGGCTCTTCACCCGTCAAAAACTATAATATACTACAAAAAAAGAAAAAAAAATTGAAATCTACATTAAAGCAATAATATGGACACCTGGAGTTGGTCTCTACCTCTATTTACTCCCTTTATTTGAATCGCTAGAAGACAGACATCTCCCTAAGACAGACACTTAATACCAGTTCCAAAGGTGTCGTCTAAGAGAGAGTTGACTATACTCCAAAGCAGGCATTGTCATTGTGAAAGGCTCAAGCTAATAGTAATGCAATGTTATTGTGTTGCGAGGAGAAAGCCAATAGGTTTGTCAGAAAACTAAACTGCAAACAGAAATATTCCTCGTTCTATGAGCATAAACCAAAACATGCGTGTTCCAGATGTAATATTCCTCGTTCTATAAGCCATAAACCAAAACAAGCGCGCTTCAAATGGATATATATATCTTAGAGACTTTTGTTCTTAGGCAATCGTAGTTTGATCAGAAATAAAACACAAACAGTGGTGATGAACATTGTGAGCTTTTGCATTATTATAAACTTGACGTTTCGTAAGCTATTCAACATACATTTCAAACGAATACCGAACCAAAGATGTCATTCTTCGATCAAAGTTCAGGTGGTACAATGAACGTGAAAAAAATACTAAATATTTTCTTAGTCTTGAAAAACGTCATTTTGAACAAGGTACAATAAGCCAATTGACGACGGAGTTTACGTAATATCTAACAAAGATATATTATCTGAATGCGAATTTTTCCATAAAGATCTCTACGTCTCAAAAATAGACAACTCTGTAAATTTTGATTTCTTTCAGCAAGCAAATGAGACTTTTTTGACTCCTGATGAGCAACAGGTTTGCGATGGTCTCTTCACTATAAGACAGAATGTGAAGAAGCTTTAAAATCTATGAACACGGATAAAACGCCCGGCACAGACGGCCTTCCAGTCGAAGTTTACAAAGCCTTTTGGGATGACAGCTAGTTTGAGCGGTATGTCGTATTTTTTCAACTCGTTTTGTACTAGAGACATAAACGGGTGTTCTCGACTCTGCCAACCAGATCAGGTTTTGTTACCAAAACGGCGTTATTTTATTCGGCTATATTGGCCGGCCGGCAGCCGGGAAGGGTCTTAAAACTTAAAACTAAATGGCAGGCAGTCAGAACTTTTTTTTGGATTCTCTTCAAAATCCCTTTTTCTAATCGAGGGTGCCAACTGATATTTGGCCAAAAAAACAGTAGTTAACTGATAATTCGCCAAAATATTAGTAGTTAACTGAGAAATGAAAAGTTAACAGTTAAGTGACATTCTATTAATTATACTGAATACGATCATTGATGGTAATGAAAGCAACAAAGTTTTGCAAACAGAAATGCTATTTTCTGACTTTTTTCCGTCCCGCTGATGACCTGGTGGCTCCTTAACTGATATTATTGTGTGCAAAAGGCACCAGAGCAGTACGCGGCTTTCATTTCCTGAAACCTTTGGATATCTTATCTATATGACGCTTTTGAAATAGGCGAAAAAGGTAATATTGAGGGACGCGAACGGGAATGTCGACAAAATAAAGTAAAGTAAAAGCTTTATTAATGTGTCAATGTATTTAGTTTTCACAACTAATTGGGGACACAAAAATTTAAATTATTTACAAACAAGAAATAATAATAATAATGTATATACAATTAAAATATGTAGCACGTATAAATTGTACAATAAAGCAATAGGTATATAAAAGGTAGTCTCTAAGGATTGCAAAGGTTACAGCAGCTATTGTTGTTGTTTAAGAGTGACGTTAGGTCCTTTTTCCTAACGTTCTTTTTGAAAGATTCAGTATTCGAGAAGCCTTTCAATTTATTATCTTGTTTTGACCATATATGAAGTCCTTGATATCTAAGAGAATGTTTTCCACAGTTAATAGTGTTAAAAGTCGGAATATCAAAATCACTGTTTCTTAGTGAATTGACTATTTTCCAATTGCCCATAATACACTCTGTTTGCCCCCCAAATTTTGCATAACTTATTGTCTTATAATGCTCTTGGTTTATGCAGAATTTGGGGGGCAAACCGAGTGTATTATGGGCAATTGGAAAATAGAGAATAGCTAGTGCTTTTCCGCTTAAATAGTTCGTCAACAATACTCGGTGCGATGCCATATTTTACTTTGTA